TTATAAGCCAAGCAAACAGGGCGGGTGTATGACAGGAGCAAAGGGTCTATCCTTGCTCACTGCTAGGGCCTTTTAGTTTTTAGCCCGCTCAGTGGTCGTATACTCAGAAATAGGTGCTTAAGCATTAGAAAACAGGAAAGGTGTGGAGGGGTGTGTGAGTATGTTTGGGTCTACGTATGACTCATTTTTTCTTTTACTGATACAATGATACGCAGCCCTCCTACGTATTCGAGAAAAAAAGTGTTGAAAAGTTGAAATTAGTTTGTCGATACCTTGTACTGTGTCATTCTAAATTATTCTGTCTTTTCTAGATACCAAAATAATTTATAATTATATTTACATATATAGGTTTAATTGTTAGCTAGCTAGTTTTTAGCTCTAGCCTATCCAAACATAGGCTAATAAGTGACCTAATCTTTTATCTAAGCCTCTAACTAGTTATTACCCAAATAAACAATCAACAACAACTAACTTAAGAAGGTATTTTTAATCTCAACTAATAACTAGCCCTAACTTATTCAAAGAGGCCATAAATCTAGCGGGCAGAATTTATGTTACTAGGGCAATCGGATAACTTTAACCTAGCGGTAGTGCTTTGGTAGTTGTACACATCTCCTAGCATACAAGCTTAGGAGTAGTTAGTAATTCAGAATTAATAAGAGTATATCCAAATAAGTTAATGCTAAAGGATGTGCTAGCTACTATAAAAAAAATTAAGGTGAAGAATGTGAGTAAGGGTCGTCAACAATAATACAAATACCTCTAAAAACAATAATACAAATAGCTAGCTCATAGCACATTCTATTTAGTAAGAAAAAGAGAGTAATTAAAAAGCATCTAGCTAGCTCTTTACAAAGAGCTAAGCTGGTATGCTTTTTAATTGATTCATGTCTCCATGTTCATACGGTTTTCTATGCTAACATATCGTAATATTATTATTTTTTGTATCTTTTTTGACGATACTAATTATATACTATAAATATTAATACATTTTATATGTATTTGGTCAAAGTTGCAAATATTTGATTTCTCGAGAAATAAGAATGACACTTGTTAGTGAAACGGTGGGACTACCTATTTGTGAGGCTAGAAAGAGTAGGAGAGAGGGGAACGTCTCCAAGAGTATCCAATAGTTTCTTCCTAAAAACATAACGTTTTACAACTACTAAAAAAGTATTAAAAGGAATAAAGAAGGTCGTCTCCAGGAGTTTCTAATAATCTATTTGTGAGGCTAGAAAGAGTAGGAGAGAGGGGAAACGTCTCCAAGAGTATCCAATAGTTTCTTCCTAAAAACATAACGTTTTAAAACTACTAAAAAAGTATTGAAAAGAATAAAGAAGGTAATCTCCAGGAGTTTCTAATAATCCACCCATAAAATATAGAAGATAATTTTACATCAGTAATCCTCTACTATTTCTAAATTATCGTAACCACTTTTATATATTCTTTCTCTCATGTACATTTGCATCAGGAACCCTTTCCTACTCGGAAGCGCGTAACTTTACGCGGAACAGGGTGATTTTTCTCAAGTTCTAAAAGATTAGGATGATAGACTAGAAGTTGTTGGAGAGGGATTTTTTCTCATCTCGTTAAAAACTAAGGATTAGAAAGGGATTTAGAAAACTCTTGGAGATGCTCTTACATAACTTAAATTTTTCTTTTTGGCACTGCAAAAGTTGTGACAAGTCACAATAGAGTTAGTGGATGGCTAATAGATGACGGTCTTGATTATATATTTGTGCACATATGGAGAAGACTTTTTTTTTCTCTAAGGCTAACATTTCTATGGGCTTCTTTTGAACTGTGGATTTTTGTTATTTTTTTGTGTTTTGTGTTTTTTTCTATGAAAATAAATAAAAATGCTCCCTGTAGGGTGTCCCGCTGTACCGACGATGGCTTCCCAGGCCTGTGCAGCAGACCGGTCCAACAGGCCCACGCTTCTCTATTAAAAAACAACTGTTGGACGTCGATTCCCCAATCCTCCTTGCTCTCCTGTCGCGGCATTCTTCACCGCCTCACCACGCCATCGACCGCTGCGGTAGATTCCACAGCGTCGCCTATCGTTTGCCTTCACCGCGACGTTCTCCCGTGTGGGGGGCGCCTCGCCGTGGGCACGGCACCAGCCCACCGCGACCTTCTCCAGCAGCAGGGCGCGCCTCGCCGCGGGAGGCCGCCTAACCGCCGCTGCTGCCTCCACCAAGGGGGCTGCTCGTCGGGGGTGCCACCACTCGCCGTCAAGCCCGCGCTGTCGCGGATTCCTGCGTGGTCCGCGATGACCGCTACGGCATGTCGGGGCGCCTACTTGGCGCCATCCTTCCTCTCTCCACCTTGCCGAGTCGCCCGCTTGCCGCCATCCTCGCTCTCCACTACACTCAAGCGATGCTTGCTGGCTACCGCAGTTTCCCACAAGGTAGGCCATGGTCGCCGGTGATGTCGTGTTTTGGGTGTGTTCAGATGTATATGTTCAAGTGTTTCATCTAGATGTTGTGTATGTTGCAGTGGCTATATACGCATGTTGCAAGCGTACGTTTCATGTTGCAAGCATATGTTTCATGTGTTTAAAACGTACTCCCTCCATTCCAAATTGAATCATTTAAAGAATCTTGGAAAGTCAAAGTATCTCAAGTTTGACTAAATTTATATGATAAGATAATAATATTTATGATACCAACTAAGTATCATTATGTTCTTCATTAATTATATTTTTATAAGAGATCTATTTGATGTCATAAATCTTTATAATTTTTTCTATAATTTTGGTTAAACTTGAGATACTTCGACTCTCCAAGATTTTTGGAATGACATAATTTGGGATGGAGGGAGTATGTTTCAAGTGTTTCATATGCATATTGCAGAAGTATATCAAGATGTTGCATAATATGTATGTTGCAAGTATATGTTCCTAATGTTTAAGGTGTTTATTCACACGTGTTGCAAGTGTTGCATCAGGACGTTACAAAAGTAGATCTGGATATTGCATATGTTTTTGCAATAGATTCCAAGTGTTTTGAGGTGTTTCGGATATATGTTGTAAGTGTTTTCATTTAAATGTTGTAAAACTAGATCGTGATGTTGCACATGTTACGATGAAATCCATCTGCTGCAACGCCTGCCGCCGCTGCTGGAGTGCTAGACGGGGGCAGGTGATTGGGACTCACGTTGGATTTCCGTGTGCGGGTGCAACGGTCATCCGGCAATGTGGGATCCATGTGGTGGGGTGCACGAAAATAGACGGGCACGGGCTCTTTTACATGTGCGGCAGCGTCCACACGCTAGCGCTCTCGGTGGACGTCCGGCGCTAGCAAGGCCTTGTTTAGATTGCAAGTTTTTTTACTCTCTTTCCATCACATCAAATCTTTGGACACATATATGGAGTATTAAATGTAGATAAAAAATAACTAATTACACAGTTTGATTGTAAATTACGAGACGAATTTTTTGAGCCTAGTTAGGTCATGATTGGACAATAATTGTCAAATACAAACGAAAGTGCTACCGTGCCAAATACTAATTCATAACCCCAATCTAAACTAGGCAAGTCTAAAAATAAATTGATTTCTATCCTATATAATTTCTGCGATTTTTGTACGGTGAAAAGAACATGTATGCTGCGTGGGTGGTGCTGCCCTATGGATGCGGCACCAAGTCAAGTCAACCCAATGTCATCGCGATTCCAAAGCTGAGGTAGTTGATTCTTGCAGGAAGAATAGACAGCATTTCGTGGTTTTGGTCCTTGATGTCTCCGCAGCTTTCCTCTTCTAAGCTTTTACTGCAGTTCGCAGTGCAGCACAGCTTGGTTTCGTAGCATCAGGCCAGAAGAGCGTGGGACTCGGAACTCGGAAGAGACACCACCATTGGAGGAGCTCTCTCCTCGCTGAACATCATCTGGTAAAGGTCTCTCATCTCTGTTGCTGGCGCTGACCAACTAGCGTAGTAGCGTTGGATGAAATGAGTTGTGGGGTTTTGTTTTGTGATTCCGTTCTCTTTTTCTGATAAATCGTGGGTTAATAAAGAATAAAAGCACAAGAAACAGAGAGGAAACACCGCCATCCGTTCTCCCATGTCGCCGCTCAAGAAGATCCCGCCAGCATCCCGCCGCCGTATCATCCCACGAGCTGGAGGCGCGCGCCGGCACGGCCAGCCGGAATCGCATCTCCCCCGTGTTCCTTTCCACCCGTCGGGTGTGACGCCGGACACGCATACGCAACCTGCTCGAACAATCGCCGCACCGCTGAGCGCCCCTGGGCCCTGACGTATTGCAATCCTAATCCTCTGATGCTGCTCCGCTCTGCCCACCACTAGATCCACGACCAAATTCCACATGTTCATAGGAAGGGATGCCGGGAAGTGATAAGAATCGCAATGTCCTGACAATTCTCTGCTGGCGCTGGTTGATTAACGAACAAGGCTATTTCCTTGCATAGTTCGTGTCTCTGTGACATCCATTTCATTAGCTTTCAGAAGAAACCATAATAACAGGATGTTCTTCTTTGTAATTTCTGAAGAAAGGAGCGTCCTTTTTGCTCCAAGACTAAAGCTTGTAATTTTGTCTGAGATATATACATGGCGCCATCCGGCCATTATCTTTCGTGAGCTGTTCCTGACTCTGATTATCATTGACAATAGTAAAATCTGCTTTGTGAGGGCCATACTATCGTAGTGAACCTACAGGTTATTCTATTTAATGAGGTTTCTAGCTAATTTTTCATTGTCACGTAAACTTATTTAACGCATAGCACAATGTGCAAAATGTAAATATTGCAAACCAAATATACTGGGAGCGCAACCGAATAACAATGATAGTTATGATGAATTCTCTAAATCAAACTACATAAGGTTACTGTTTCTAAAAATGGTTCTCTTCCCACTGTAGGAAAATTAACGACCAATGTTACACTGGAAGCAATCCCATGGACATTTCCAGTTCATTTAATTCCATTACTTACAATAGCTTATTATGCAATCTGCAACAAATTTATGTTTTTTCCCATTCAGCAGAGATGACAGAGGCAGCACTCCTTGCTCTCTCGAAGATTGGGTCCTATTTAGGAGGTGAAGCAGCTACCTTCATTGCAACCAAATTTTCTAATTTGATCGAGCTACCAAACACTGTGCGGCGTATTCGTTGGGAACTTCTGATGATGAACATCTTTATACGGAAGACAGGTGCATCCTATCTCAGTGATGCCTCAAGGCTTTGATCACAGAAGTGAGAATACTGGCCTACCGTGTCGAGAACATAATGGACAACTTTTCATATCATTCTCTTCAATTCAAGCAAGACCCTAAAGGGAAAAAGTTGGCCAATGGGTTAAGCTATGGTCTAGTGTTTAGTGGAATTGCTGATGATCTTGCTCAGATAGAGAAGGATATTGAGCATGTTTCGAAGTTGAAGAATCTGTGGTTAACTCAGTCCATGAGCTTCTTCCTACTCAAGTTAGCAGTCCTGAACAGCAATTCCCTCAATACAGTTTGCCCCAACATGTAAAGGATGAAAACCTAGTGGGGTTAAAGGAAGAAAGAGAGCAATCAAAGGAATGGTTGATTCCCAATGCACCTGTCAACATGAAATATATACCAGCTCTCAAGGTGGTAGCTTTGTTGGGTATGGGTGGGATGGGAAAGACCACCCTGCTCACTAGTGTGTATGATAAACAGAAAGATATCTTCGAAATCCATGCTTGGCTCACTGTCTCACAAACATACAGAAGTGTAGATGCTTTGCTGAAGAAGCTACTAAAGATTGTTAGTGCCTCTGAGCACACAACAGCAGCTCATGTTAACAGTGTCAATCAGAAGGAAGCAACTATAGAATCACACGAGCGATGGCTTCCGACCTCTCCTCTCCTGACGTCCTGCCTCCCCCCAGCCCCTCGCTGGCGCCCGCCCCGGGTCCGGCGACCACCTCCACGACTGCCAGCGCTCCTTCCTCCTCTCCTCAGGCGTCGGTTTCCACCTCCCACCTTGTCCCCTCACGCGGCGTCGTTCGTCCCTCGTGGCCGCTCCAAGCGGGAGCGGTGGAACGACAATTACCCGTCGGCGTCAAGTTCCGATGGTTCCCCTCGCTCCTACCGCGATATCGTGCTGTCCTCCACGGGACCTGCATCCTCGGCGGCGTCAGCGGCGGCTGGCGCGCCCAAGGCGGTTGGGGCGTCCGCGGCGGCTGCTGCGCAGCGGGGCGCGGCGGTTGGTGCTTCTAGAGGCCCTACGGCGGTTCTCCAGAGGGCCCCTCCTCCTCGGCGCCATGCCTACGCCCAGCCCCGTCGTGCCGCAGCTCCCGATGCAGAGGGATGGCAAAAGTTCGAGTCCCGCGCCGCCCGACGCCGACGGCGGCGCGTGGTTCGCCCCCGTCGTCAAGTTCCGGCCGATCTCGCTGGTGCAGGTAGCTAAGCGCTTCTCATTGGCGGACAAGCGCGCCAAAGGCCGCGAGAGGACTAGATGCTTCCTTTGCAAGGCCACAGGACACCGATCTTACGTGTGCCCCGGCGCCACTAAGCTGCGGCGGGCGGCCCTCGCCGACGGCCGGCACTGCAGCGTCCCGGTTTGGCGGCGGATCACCCGGCCGGAGTCGTTGGCGCCCTCGTCTCGTGATTGCCCGAGGACTTGTGCGCTTTGGGGCGGGCACCACCACAGGTCTAGGCATCGTCGTGGGCGGCCCCTCGCCGACGGCCGGCACCGCACGTCCCGGTTTGGCGGCGGATCACCCGGCTCCGAGTCGGTGGCGCCCTCGTCTTGCATCCGCCCGAGGACTTGGTGCGCGCGAGGGGGGCACCACCACAGGTCTAGGGCGGCGGTGGCGGCGTCGCCCGGCCAGCGTAACCGTCACCCATCGATTCACGGCTCGTCCGGTGTCCCCGCTTAGCTGATGGTTCCCAGCAAATGGTCCTCCCTCCGGAGGCATCAAGGGCCGTGTTCATCTCCGTCATCGGTGAGGCGGCGACGGTTGAGGAGCTGGCTGCGGTGATCGCCTTGAGGTGGGCGTGAAGATGACCCGCTGGCCCTCCGTCGTGCCTCCCGGCTAGCTTCTGCTAGTCCTCCCAGACGGGCTGTGGTGGCGCGCCGTGTCCGGTCTCTTTCCCTTGATTAAAATCGGGGGCGGCGGCGGTCAGGTGCGGTTGGGCCCCACGGCTTCTTGCAACTCCTACGTGGAAGCTACTCCTTCGGCAAGAGCCTCCACTCCTGCCGTTGGAGCAGAGGAGCAGCGTCTTAACTTCATGGGGGAATCACGGACGCGCGCGACGTGCCATTAATTGAAGCCTTTGAATCGACCTCGGCGCCCAAGGTCGGCGCGGCAATATCTATCGCCCACCGGATACGCCTTAATGAAGAAGTTTCGCGGCCAATCGGCAAGCGAGGATTGGGGGACGAGTTGACTCCCTCGATGAAGGACTCGGGGCTGATTTGAAGACTGAATTTGTCCAGCCTAGCCCGGCAAATGCTGCTCCTCCTGGGCTGATGGAAGGGCTGGTCCTGGACTGATGATGAGGCGCAAGGCCCAATCGCTGACAACCGTCATGGGCCATGGTGAGGCAACGGAGGGAATCCCTAATCTTGCCGGCCTCACCATGCTTACCGCCACACCCCACCTCAGGCTTGGCCACTGAAGAAAATCCCCCAAGGTCGCCGGCTGCTCTTGGCTCCCCATGGACCTCTCCCCCACCGGAGTTCAGGTCTCTGGGTTCGCCTCCGGGTTTGGGCAAACGCTCTGCGAACCCGCTACAAGTCTACTCGCGTCGCCGCTCTCGCCCGCGCGGGGCTGCTCTTCCTGAGAGCTCCACGTTGGCGCCGACGATAGAGCTGGAGGCCGAGGTCTCCCCCAAATCTCCGTGTATACCGGCGGGGGATGTGGCAGCTCCGGCTCCGTCCCCAGCCGCGACGCCTTTGAACCACGACACCTTCATCAGCAAGCTCTCCCGCCGGACAGCAGGCCTGCTGCCAGTCCCCACCATCAGCAAACGTCGCGCAAAAGCTCTGCCACCTGGTGAGACTCCACGGCGTAGTCGACGTCTTGTGGGGGCAGTGGCTGAGTTCCAACCGGTGGACTGGGCAAGGAGGTCGAAAAAGAAGGTTATGCGCTCCCTGGAAATCATTAGTGAGCAGAATGGTGTCTGTCAGCAGGCTGAAGAGGAGTATTGTAAGCTTTTTGAAAACCCACTTCCTGACATCCATCTGATTGGTTTGGCTGCCCTGTTCAACTGGTCCATCCCCGAGTTCTGTGAGGACGATGATCAAGTTGGTGAAGATGTAGTAGCCACATAAGCTGCTCTGGTCTGTGCTCTTGGTCGTTTTTTCACAATCTTGTAATGGATCCAGCTAAAATTTTAATTTGGAATGTAAGGGGCCTCAATTCTACAGCAAGGCAAGATTCTCTCCGCACTCTTGTGGAAGCTTCCCGGTCAGATATTGTGTGCATCCAGGAAACAAAAATCTCTACGTCAGCCAGGCGAGTGATTCTGTCTGCTCTGGGGACTGATTTCTCAGAGTTTGCTGAGCTCCCCTCTGTAGGTGCTAGCGGTGGTATTCTTGTTGCTTGGCGTCATCATCTTGGTACTGCAGGGGCCTGCCATGTGAATAACAACAGCGTAACTGTTCAACTATGCCCGGTTAATGGTGTTTCCTGGTGGTTAACCTGTGTGTATGGTCCTCAGGGCATGGATGAGAAAATCCAGTTTCTACTGGAGCTGAGAGATATCAGAGGGGGCTGTCCTGATCCATGGGTTCTTGTTGGCGATTTCAACTTGATTTACAAAGAGGAAGACAAGAATAATGATAACTATAACCGAGCAATGATGGGTCGTTTCAGACGTTTAATTAATGATCTTGCTATCAAGGAAATTCCTCTTCATGGTCGGAAGTATACATGGTCAAATCAGCAAAATAATCCTACTTTGGTAAAGCTGGACAGGGTGTTTTGTTCAGTGGACTGGGAGGATCTTTTCCCAAACTGTCTGCTGCAAAGCGTGGCTTCGGAGGACTCAGACCATTGCCCTCTTTTGCTTGGACTTCAGGATAATAAATCAGGTCGCAGACGCTTTCATTTTGAAGTTTTTTGGCCTAAGCTTGAGGGGTTTCAGGAAACTATAGCAGCTGCTTGGGCCTCAGTGCCGGCTGGTCCTTGTCCTTTCTCCACCTTGAACCTCAAGTTCAAAGCTGCCACTAAAGCTTTACAGAGTTGGAGTGATAAATCAGTGGGTCACGTTAATTCTCAGCTAGCCCTTGCTCGTGAAATCCTCCATCAGCTGGAGATCGCCCAGGACAGTCGCACCCTCTCACCAAGAGAAGACTGGCTGAAAAACAATCTTAAGAAGCATTGCCTTGCTCTTGCATCCCTCAAGCGGACAATTGCCCGTCTTCGCTCAAGAATTGATTGGGTACGCGATGGGGACGCCAACACAAAGTTTTTCCAACTCCATGCCCGTCACCGCAAGAGGAAGAACTTCATAGGCAAGCTGGTTTCAGGTGACCAGATCTACACCAAACATGAAGACAAAGCAAGATTGTTAGATGAATTCTATGAGGGCTTGCTTGGGACAAGCCTGGACAGAGCGCGTACTATCAACCTTGATGCGCTTGGGATCCTCTCCCATGATTTGGCTGATCTTGAGCTCCCTTTTACTGAAGAAGAGGTGTGGAAAACAATCAAGCAACTGCCTCCGGACAAAGCGCCCGGTCCAGATGGTTTTACTGGCAGATTTTACAAGGCTTGCTGGCAGGTTATAAAGAAAGATATTATGGCTGCAGTTTCTGCTGTATGGAGTAGGATATTTGCTGGTTTTGAGGTGCTTAATGCAGCTTACATCACTCTTCTACCTAAAAAGGAGGAAGCTGAGCAACCACAAGACTTTCGGCCTATCAGCTTGGTACATAGTTTTGCTAAGTTGATCACTAAAATGTTGGCGAATCGACTTGCATGTCGGCTGCAGCAGATGGTGTCTCCCAATCAAAGTGCTTTTATGAAAGGGCGTTTCATACAGGACAACTTCATGCTAATTTAGCAAACGACAAGATTTCTCAATCAACAAAAGCAGCCTAGAATCCTTCTAAAATTAGACATCTCAAAGGCATTTGATTCAGTTTCTTGGCCCTTTTTGCTTGAGGTTCTGCAACACTTAGGCTTTGGCCAAATCTGGAGGGACATAATCAGCGGGTTACTCTCCTCCTCTTCTACTCAAGTAATTTTGAATGGGATACCTGGGGAGCGTATTTCTCACCGGAGAGGACTAAGGCAAGGTGACCCGTTATCACCCATGCTTTTTATTCTTGTTATGGATGTGTTGGGACATATGGTAGCCAAGGCAGCTGCTGATGTTTTGTTGCAGCCACTATCATCTCGTGCTCTTCAACATCGTATATCTCTCTATGCCGATGATGTGGTTCTTTTTCTCCGGCCGGAGGCAACGGATATTGCTGTCATAATGAACATCCTCCAACTTTTTGGTGATGCTTCAGGTCTCAAAACCAATTTTTGCGAAAAGCAATGTGTTACCAATCGGTGTGGGCATACTGAGAACTAGCCTTGGTACAGGAACTTCTCCCCAATGCGCTCATGGATTTTCCCCGCAAATATTTGGGGTTGCCTCTCTCTCTCAAGAAGTTAACTAAGGAACAAATCCAACCTACTATAGATAGAATAGCTGATCGGCTTCCGGGATGGAAAGCAGACCTCATGACACAGGCGGCAGCAGAAGGATTCAGTGCAGTTTGTCCTCACAACCATGCTTATTTATTTGGCAATGGCGGTTGATTTCCCACCATGGGCAATTAAAGCCGTGGACAAACTGCGGAGAATTTTTCTTTGGAGGGGCCATAAAGATGCTCGTGGAGGACACTTGTCTTGTGGCTTGGGGAAAGGTTACCCATCCACTTGAACTAGGTGGGCTTGGCATTTCGACCTCAAGCATCTTTGTTGGGCACTAAGGATGAGATGGGTTTGGTTGAAAAAACTGAGCCTCATCGTCCATGGGCAGCCCTTCCTATTCGAGATCCGGGCCAAGTTTATGCCTTCTTCTCGATAGCCGTTATATCGGAAGTGGGCAATGGGAATCACACTTTGTTCGGACTGATCGTTGGATCCATGGACGGTGTATCACCGACCTTGCACCGAGACTACTCGAAGCCATCCCGAAAGAGAAGGGTGAAGCAACGACTGATACAGAAGCTCTTCTTGGTCGCATGGTGGGGTTTTGGATATTAAGGGAGCCCCCTTGTAGGGTGTTATTGTCGACTTCCTCCATCTCTGGGAATTCTTTGTACAATTTTGAGTTAGAGCACGATGTTGAAGATGTCCACATATGGTGTTTCTCTGCTAGTGGGAAATACTCACCAAGTGCGCCTATGAGGGTTTCTTCCAGGGTCTACTAAGTTTGGTCCATCTGAGAGGATTTGGAGAACACAGGCACCGCCCAAATGTCGCTTTTTTTTTCTTTGGTTGGTGGCCCACAATCGGTCTTTGGACAGCAGATCGCCTTGCGTGTCATGGGCTGCCTCATCTGTGTAGTGCCCTCTCTGTGATCGGGGAGGATGAGACTATCAACCACCTCCTAGTCTCTGTGTCTTTGCTAGACATTTTGGTATCTCCTTTTGAGACAGGTCGGCCTACACTCCTTGTCACCACGGCCTTGATTCTTCCTTTGATATATGGTGGGAAAAGGCTATTCGTGCAACAAGTGGATTAATGCAAAAAGGTCTCAACTCTCTTATTGTGCTTGGTGCTTGGACTCTTTGGAATCACCGGAATCGTTGCGTTTTTTATGGAATTACCCCAATCTTGGACGAGCTCTCTCCCTTCTTTGGAGAAGGCGCCGGGTTGTGGAGAGTAGCAGGAGCCAAGGGTCCATCCTCTTTGTGACCCCTCTCTTTGGTAGTTAGCTTAGCGATAGTGTTTGGTCGCCTTTTGTCCTTATCGGTAGCGAATGTTATTTGTGTGGGGTTGTGTGTGGTGTGTGTTGTAGGGCTCTAGCCCTTTCTTTCTTCTTAATATAATGATGCATGACTCTCCTGCGTTTTGAAAAAAAAGAAGGAAGCAACTATACCGATTGATATTGGTATAGGACACAAGAACAAATTTGAACCAGATGATTTCGACAAAATGGGCATCTTAGACTTGAAGAGTAATTTAAAGGCAGTCCTAAAACATAAGAAATATATTGTTGTGTTAGATGATGCATATATGGGAGCGTCGAGTTCATGATGGAATAAGCGATGTGTTTGAAGATTGTGGGAAGGAAAGTCGCATTGTCATCACAACAAGGAAAACAGATGTAGCTGCTCTTGCCACACCAGGTTACCAGCTCAACCTGAATCCATTAGACATCAAGGATGCACTCCAGCTCTTCTTTACAAAGGCTTTTCCCAACAAAACCCACTTTGATTGGATATCAGAACTTCTTGAGTGCGCTAATGATACGATGAAGACTTCTGAGGGTCTTCCATTGGAAAAGTGCCCACTAGAGCTTCAAGAGCTTGCTAATCATATTTGAGAGCAATTAGCCTCGGGATTGATTGATTGATTAAAGGGGTACAGGGGTACATTATATAGGCAAGGATCCCTAAGGGTTTATAGAAACACCTAATCAACGGTGATCCTTGCCTTATCAATCTAGATCTGCGAGTGTCGGGACAACCAGCCCAATCAGCGTCGGTGTAGACAACAAGATCAGTCGAAGTAGTCGGTCGCAGCAGGAGACCGAGGTGGAGTGTGCCCTGAACATAGCGAAGAATCCGCTTCAGAGCAGCAAGGTGAGGCTCTCGAGGGTCATGCATGTGGAGGCAGACCTGCTGAACAGCATATGCAATGTCTAGGCGAGTGAACGTCAAGTACTAAAGAGCTCCGGCAAGACTGCGAAAGTCTGTAGCATTAGACACAGGGGCCCCCTCAGCTGCAGCAACCTTAGAGTTGGTGTCAACTGGTGTAGAGCACGGCTTGCACTCGGTCATCCCGGCGCGATCTAAGATATCCAGCATGTACTGTCGCTGTGAGAGCAGGAGTCCATCACCACGTCGCTGAACATGCATACCGAGGAAGTGATGTAGTTCACCAAGATCTTTCATGGCGAACTCCCGCTGAAGTGCTGAGATGATCCGCCGAAGAAAATCTGACGACGAGGCTGTGAGGACAATATCATCAACATACAGCAACAGGTAGGCTGTGTTTGATCCGCGCTGATAGATGAAGAGTGAGGTGTCTGACTTGGCTTTGACAAACCCAATAGACAGCAAGTAAGAGGCCATCCGACTGTACCAAGCACGAGGAGCCTGCTTCAGGCCATAGAGCGACTTCTTCAAGAGGCAGACAAAATTCGGATGAAATTTGGATCTTGAACACGACGGTGGCTTTGGCGATTACAATCGCCTCGATCAAATTGCCATGAAGAAAGGTGTTCTTCACATCCAGCTGGTGAATGGGCTAGTGGCGAGTGAGCGCTAAGGAGAGCACCGTGCGGACAGTAGCAGGCTTCACCACAGGGCTGAAGGTCTCATCAAAATCCACACCAGGCCGCTGGGTAAAGCCACAAAGAACCCAACGTGCCTTGTACCGCTCGAGGGAGCCATTAGACTGAAGCTTGTGCTTGAAGATCCACTTCCCAGTGACAACATTGGCCCGAGGAGGACGGGACACAAGATCCCAAGTGTGATTCTGCAGGAGAGCACTGTGTTCTTCCTCCATAGCTGCTCGCCAATTGGGGTCAGCAAGAGCGCTACGGAAGGTCTTCGGCACCGGAGATAGAGGCATGGCGTGGTAGATAGCGGGCATCCTGTAGCCGCTCTTCGAACGGGTGCCCATGGAGTCTTTGGTTTGTACCGGAGGAACAACAACGCGCACCCTTGGGGCAGAGCTCTTTGTTATGTAGCAGGGCGGCGGCGGGTGCGGTGGATTGGCGGTCGGGCAGCAGCCTGGGCGCCAATGGCTCATGGCGACGCGACGTGTAGACGTACGTGAAGTCGCGAGCCGGTCGGAGAGGTGGGAACCCTGGTGGTGGCCCAGCATGGCGCTGCCGCAGGGTTTGGGGAGCCCAGCAGACGACGCGCAGGGGATGTCGCGCGCTTGCGCTTGCAGCCGTCGGGCAGCTCCGGGGCAGCAGCGTGGCGCGCGGAAGAGGGACTCTGGTGGCGCGTGGTGGTGGCGCGTGGGTGTCCCCGACACCCCGCAGCCTTGAGGGGCGACGAGCTTGGCATCGGAGGATCCTCAGCATCCTCGGGAGGCTCCAGGGGTGCCCCAGGCACGGCCTCACGGGGACCGGCAGGGGCGCGGGTGGCGTCGGAGGTACTAGGAGGAGTTCCTGCAGGCAAACACTTGTGCGACGATCCAATAGGAGCGAGCACAGCATCAGTAGTGTCATCGGCAAGAAACTCGAGGTCTGCTGGAGTACTAGGACCATGACGCTCAGCGAAAGGGAAGGCCGTTTCATCGAAGATGACGTGCCGGGAGATGATGACTCTATTGGATGATAGGTCAAGGCAGCGGTACCCTTTATGATGAGCTGAATAGCCTAGGAAGACGCACAGGACAGACCTAGGGGCAAGCTTGTGAATGGCAGTGGCGGACATGTTGGGATAACATTTGCAACCGAAGACTCGTAGATGATCATATGTGGGTGGCTTGCCAAACAAGGCAAGATGAGGTGTGGAGAACTCTAGAGTCTTGGTGGGCAATATGTTGAGGAGAACAGTCGCCGTGGAGAGAGCCTCCACCCAGTAGGAGGGAGGCATGGACGCCTGAAAGAGCAGGGAGCGAACAACATTATTTATAGAGCGAATAATGCGTTCAGGTTTACCGTTCTGAGACGAGGTGTAAGGGCAGGACATGCGAAGGTAGATGCCCTAGGTGAGGAAGAAGTGCCGGGTGCTGGAGTTGTCAAACTCTTTCCCGTTGTCGCACTGTACGGCTTTGACGCGGGCGCCAAATTGAGTGGAGGCATGGGCGATGAATTGAGCAAGCGTGCTGAAAGTGTCAGATTTAAGTCATAAAGGAAATGTCCACAAATAGTGAGTGCAATCATCAAGAATTACCAAATAGTATTTATAACCAGAAATGCTGACAACTAGAGAGGTCCATAAATCACAATGAATAAGATCAAACTTGCTAGACGCACGAGAGGTGGACACATGAAAGGGCAGACGAACATGACGCCCTAGCTGACAAGCATGACATAAATTGGAACAATCCTGAATAGGGAATGAAACACTAGACGCGAGCTTTGACAAGGCCTCGTGACCAGGATGCCCAAGACGCCGATGCCATAGTGGAGAGGAGCCCTGAGCGGCAAAGGAAAGTGCTGGTGGAAGGCGAAGTGGGTACAATGGCCCGGAGCTATTACACCGGACGATCTCTTTCTGAGATGAAAGAACCTTCACAGAACAACCAGCGGGGTCAAACTCAACAGAGCAATTATTGTCAATAGTAAATTGGCGAACAGAGATAAGATTCTTAATAATTTGTGGCGACACAAGGACATTATTAAGATGTAAATTGGATGATAACTCTGTGGAGCCAGTGGCAGTGACAGAAATAAGGGAGCCATTACCGACAATAATAGATGAAGGGTTAGGGTACCGCGGGAGAAGAACATGTGAAAGAGAGGAGGGCTGAGATGTCATATGTGAAGTAGCTTTTGAGTCAAGTACCACTCGTTGGTCGGTGAGTAGGGTCGCGATGTCGTCTCAAGGCGCGTGGCGAGATCCGTCGGGTCCTGAGGAAGGGAGGCGGTCATAGGGTTGTAATACCCGGAGCGACCCATCGGGTGACGGCTGGTCGCCGGTGAGCAACAAGCGCTTCTTCTTCGCCTGCCGAGCGAGCAAGGCCTCTTCTTGTGCCTAGTCTTTGCGCTTCTTCTTTGGGCATGGTGCTACGCCTGGAGGTGAGGGGGCATCGGGATGGGTGCCAGAGGCGAACGAGGAGCTCCTAGCCACATCTGGATGGTGCCGGACTAGGGATTGTAGAAGCTGGGCCAAGGGCGCCCCACCGGGCTGCTCTTGCTTGTCCAGTGAGCTTCTTCTTGGTGTGGCGGCGCAGGGGCCGAGAGCCCTGTCTGAAGCTGCTGCTGCCTTGTCCTTTGCCGCCGCCACCGCGCTTGCTGCGGCGGCTGTTGGGAGCCTTGGAGCCCCCTCCAGCGCCCGCAGAAGGTGGAGGTGCCGCGGTGGGAGTAGTGGAGGCGGTGAGTGTAGCTGCTGGAGCCTCCTTGCGATTCACCATGGTGAGTTCCTCAAGGATGAGGTCCTCACGGGCTTCCAGGAACGTGGGGAAGGGCTTGGCTCGGCGAAGAAGCGTGCCGACGTGGGCGAAGCGCTCGTTGAGGCTGCGGATGACGTTGAGGACGAGGGTGTGGTCGGTGATGACCTCACCGAGGGCCATGAGATCATCGACCATCTTCTTCAGCTTGCGGCAGTACTCGGTGACGGATAGGTCGCCTTGGACGAAGTTGCGAAACTGCGTCTCTAGCTGAATGGAGCGAGCCTCCCGATTGCCGAGAAACTGCGACTCGATAGCGAGCCAGGCGTGCCGGGCTGTGGAGCCCTGGGCATGGATGATCTCGCCCAGATCATCCGTGAGCGTGGCGACGATCCAGGACTTGACGACACAGTCCATCCGGGCCCAATCAGGAGAAATCGGGACTGGAGGGTCTTCGCGGACATGGCCCTAGAGTGAAAACTTGCCGAGGATGAGCAGAAACTGATCGCACCAACGGTTGAAGTTACCGGAGTCGACGTCGAGGATGGTGGTGACGTGGTTCCGGATGTTGCTGACGGCGACGGCCTATGAGTGGAGTTGGAGCAGGGCCACGGCCTCGTGGTGAAGCATGGCCGTGCGGAGGTCGGTCGGCGTAGGAGCTCCTCGAGGCGGCGCAGTGGCTCCTCCCGAAGACTCGGGCGCGATGGCAGCGTCGGCGACTGCCAGCTCCATGGCGGCGCGCGCGAGGGCGTCGCTGGCGCGCTGGGCCGCCTCGTCCTGCTCCTTGGCGGCAGCCGCGGCCTGCTGCTCGGCTTCGAGGGCGCGAGCCAGGGCGGCGTCGCGCGTGGCCTTGCGTTCGCGCTCCAGGCGCTGAGCGGTGGTAGCGGCCTCATTCGCCTGCTCCTGGGCGAGCCGCCGGGCAACCTCGTCGGCCGGGAGGGAGGTGGCGGAGCCGTCGTCGTCGTCTCTGGGAGTAGGCGGAGAAGAGCCCATGGCGGCGCGGCGCGGCGCAGCAGGGGCCGGCGCGCTAGGGTGCGCGCGGCTGGGAGCCGGCGCACAGGGGGTGGAGCGGCGCGCGGCTGGGGCCGGTGCGAGGCGCAGCACGGCGAGGGGCCGGCGCGCAGAGGAAGCGGGCGGCGCGGCAGTCAGCCGGCGTGCGCGAGGAAGGTGCAGCGGAAGTCTAAACCTAAGCGTATACCATGAGAGCAATTAGCCTCGGGATTGATTGATTGATTAAAGGGGTACAGGGGTACATTATATAGGCAAGGATCCCTAAGGGTTTATAGAAACACCCAATCAACGGTGATCCTTGCCTTATCAATCTATCTTAATCCCTAAGGTGCTTAACCGCATCGGCCCATAACAGCCCATTAGGGCGCTTATCGCTAACAATATTGTTAGGAAATGTGAGGACTCCTCGGTGGCAAAGTGTCCATCTGAGCTTCAGGATCTTGCTACTTATACTGTAAACAAATTTAAGGGCTTGTCACTATCAGCATTCCCATCAGAGCTTCAGAATCTAGCTACTCTTATTGTAAAACAGTCTGAGGATTTACCTCTGGTAAAGTGTCCATCAGAGCTTCAGGAGATTACTATCGATATTGTAAAGAAATGTAGGGGTTTGCCGCTGGCTATTGTATCAGTAGGCAGTAGGTTGTCTTCAAGGAAGCAAATAGTGCCAGTTTGGAGGCAGATGTGCAATGAGCTTCCTTGTGAGCTGGAAAAAGATGACCAGGTTCAACGAATTATAAATCTTAGCTACTATGACTTGCCAAGTGACCTTCGAAACTGCTTCGTATACTGCAGCCTGTTTCCAGAAGATTACCACTTCTCAAAGGATGACCTTGTGCGACTGTGGGTTGCTGAAGGATTTGTTGAAAAGAAAGGGGATAGCACTCTTGAGGAGGTAGCAGAGGGCTATCTTTCCGAGCTGATCCACCGCAATATGCTGCAACTTGTGGAAAATGATGAGCTTGGCAGGGTGAATACATGCAAAATGCATGACATTTTAAGAGAGTTGGCCCTTTGCATCTCTAAAGCAGAAATATTTGGTACAGTAAATGATTTTGGTGCAATGGTGCAGATGGACACAGATGTTCGTCGCATATCTTCATATGGATGGAAGAAGACGAAAAAGAATAAATCCAAGATGAAATTTCCGCACCTCCGAACTCTGATGGCAAGTGATACCATTGTGGACTATGTGCCATCAATACTATCTAAATCAAAGTACCTTACTGTCCTTGAGCTGCAGAACTCTGATTTCCAGGAACTGCCTACATCTATAGGAAATCTGTTTAATCTGAAATACATTGGCCTAAGAAATACAAGAATAACATCGCTGCCAGACTCCATTAAGAATCTCTGCAATCTTCAAACTCTTGATGTGAAATCAACTAGCATAAAAGCACTGCCACCTGGTATAGTGAAGCTCACTAAGCTAAGGCACCTTCTTGCTGACAAATTTGCTGATAAGAACCAGTCAGAGTTTCGGTACTTCATCGGAGTGGAAGCTCCGGAAGGGCTTTCGAACCTTGAAGATTTACAGACTCTTGAGACTGTGCAAGCAAGCATGGACTTGCCGGAGCAACTTGATAAGCTTTTGCATCTAAGAAGCCTGTGGATAGATAACATCACTTCTGCGGTTCTGCCCACTGTGGAGGGCTTTTTGCTACCTTGTCAACTATTCTACTTCTTTCCAGTTTGCTTCTATCTGCAGCTGATGAAAATGAGACACTTCTCTTGAATCATTTCAATCCAACTTGCATGAAGCTCCACAAGCTAATTGTAAGAGGATTTTGGTCTCTAACGGATTGTCCGATATTTCAGAACCATGGCAGATATCTCAAGTATCTTGCCCTAAGCAGATGCCATTTTGTAGGAGACCCGCTGGTGGTTCTAGCATCTACTGTACCGAACATCACGTATCTGAGACTTAACAATATACCTAGTCCACCTACTTTGGACCTTCCGGAAGGATCCTTCCCACACCTGAGGACACTTGTTTTGAAGAACATGAATGATGTCAGCCTTCTGAAAATTAGTAATGGTGCACTTCCAGTCATAGAATGCCTATATATCACATCACTGCCAAAATTGGAGACAGTCCCTCGAGGCATCAAATCCCTGGGCTCCTTGAAAAAGCTCTGGCTGCTGGATCTCCACACCTGAAGACACTTGTTTTCAAGGCTGGAATGCAGAAGGATCTACAGCATGTTCTGGAGATACGTGCCTAACAGCAGAAGCTTTGTTTGTGTTTGTCAAACGTGGCTGCTCTTTCAGTAGTAAAAGTGTGCCACGATGCAACTGTGTCCACTCCAAAATCCATCAAGTTTGCAGTTAGACATTAGGGATAGCTGCATTTGTCAATCTGGATCATTTGTCAGATGTTGTTTTCGAAATAATAATTCCTGAAACATGGTTTGCTGTCTTTGCCATCAGTATGCAATCTAGACTTACCGATGTCGATGTTCTTTTTTCTAGTTGTATCTAAGGCGCCAGTTCATTTAAGAACATTACTCTATTCCTACTGAATTTGCAATGTTATTACTATGTCAGCTAAAACTTTTTCTTGTATCGCACATATGCTTCTGTTGAAATGAACTAGTAGGGCCTTACAGTGCCGTTCCTTGTATGTTCATTATTATCTACTCCATCTATTCCAAATTATAAGCCGTTTGGGTTTTTTAGATACATAGTTTTTTTTATTCCAAATTATCTGCTCCATCTATTCCAAATTATCATCGCATTTGGATCGGTGCCAATCTTGTTCTCTAGAAGAAAATCATCGAAGACACCCATTCCAGCATGCTCGGTGGCCATTTGGGTTTTCTGGTCACCTATATGCAACTGAAGCAAATCTTTTCCTGGCGAGGGATGAAGTCTGCAGTTCGCGATTTTGTCAAATCGTGTCTCATTTGCCAGTGCACTAAACCGGATAGGGCCCGTCTTCCGGGTCTTCTTCAACCCTTGCATGTGCCCGCCTCAGCGTGGCAAGTGATCTCTATGGATTTCGTGGAGGGTTTGGCCCGCTCTAATCATGCCAACTCTATATTGGTGGTCGTAGATTCCTTCACCAAATACGACCACTTCCTTCCTCTGTCTCATCCGTTTACGTCGGCCGACGTACGTTGCTAAGGTATTCCTCAACAATGTTTATCACCTACATGGGTTGCCCACTGTTATTGTCTCAGATCGTGATCGCATATTCACGAGTCAGTTATGGAGGGAATTGTTCATGTTGGTAGATGTCCAGTTGCAAATGTGTTCTAGCTACCATCCTCAATCCGATGGTTAGACAGAGCGGCTCAATCAAACAATGGAAACTTTCCTTCGTTGTTTCTCCAATGCTTGTCTGACGAAGTGCTATGCCTGGTTGCCTCTTGCGCAGCGACTGCACGTTCACCCTTTGAAGCTCTGTATGGATACCCTCCGTGTCATTTTGGCATCTCTGCTTTGGACTCAGTTGATGTGCTGAGCAATGACTGACCTTATCTACCAACATTTGTGTTGTGCTAAGGAGCGTATGAAGCATCAAACCGACAAGAAACGATCCGAGTGCCAATTCCAAGGGGTGATCTGGTGTTTGTCAAGCTCCAACCTTATGTTTAGTCTACCTTGGGGCCGAGGGCTAACTAGAAGCTTGCATTCAAGTTCTATGGTCCCTATCCGATGATCGCTCACATTGGTTCTGTTGCTTAGAAGCTCAAGCTGTCAGTTACCTCTGCCATTCACCCGGTGTTTCACGTTTCACAATTGAAGTCGGTAGTCACATCAGGTACTCCAGTTTCCTCTCCTCTGCCAATAGATATTGATCTGCCTCCGGTGCCTATAGCTGTGTTGCAGCGCCGTTTCCATCCCACAGAGGTCGGTTCAGTCGAATAGGGTCTCATTCAGTGGTCCAATTGGCCGGCTCATATGGCGACCTGGGAGACATTGGATCATGTGCGCCAGACGTTTCCTAGAGCTCCTGCCTGGGGACAAGCACGCCGGCCTTCGAGCATCGGGAACTGCTACTAGCCCTTCTACTTCCAACCACAGGATGTGGAGAATCACGGGCCTCACAGGAGTGGACGAGCCCGTCGACCCAGCGTGTGCCGTGTGGGTTTGACCAGTGCCTGTGTGCACGAGGTGGCAAGGCCCATGTAACTAAGTATATGAGCTGCGGAGAGTGGAGAGACAGGCATCACGAAATTTGTAAACAAACTCTGAATACTCGTTAACCCTGTCCTCGCCGATGCATCGTCTTCCTCGTGTTGTTCATCCTCCTCTGTCCCTAATTTCTCTACCATTTTCTCAAATCTGCTATTAACACCGCCCTCCCCCCACACGTAGATCTGCAGCTTTCGCAACACTATTGCCTTGTTCGTTTGGTTGATAAATTATGGCTGAAAGTACCATTACCTGATTTATTATGAGAGAAAAATACTGTTTATTGACTGAAAAATACGACTTATAAACCCAGCGAACATGACGTATATCTTCTGCACCCAAACCATGGGCGTCCGATAAGGCCACGTCGTCCGTTAGCCCGCTAACCATTGTATCTAACGAGGACGTGAGCTGGACCATTCGATCTGGGTCATAAGCGGGTCCGTCGCCCGTAATACGCTAACTCGGATGTTCTCGCGAATCGTCGCGAACCCACGCTGATCCCCTCTGTCTCCCCGCCGCCGCTCTTCCTGCCGCACCGACATCGCCGTCCACGGTCCACCAGCCGCGCCGCGCGTGCCTCCCTCCTCCAGCTGCCCGCACGCGCGGCTCGAGCTTGGCCCTCTCCGGTGTTGATGCTCGAGCTCAGCCCTATCAGGTGTCACGGCTCTATGCCGCGGTGGCAAAATGCTCGCCTCAATCGCCAGATCACAGAACGGATCAGCTGCTAGACTCATTGCCCGCAATGTGTTCGACAAAATGAGCAGACGCTGGGTCTCGCCAGCTATGCAACTTCTGCTAGGCACTCCTCCTTTCATTTGTCCGTGGCTTCCCTTTTTCCCAAGCACTAGCTCTACCTTCTCATTTTTTCCCCATTTTCTCTTACTCTTCCATGTGCTAGACCGTTGGTCCTCCGAGCAAACAGCGAAGGAGACGCCACAGTTCTTACGGTCTTCAAGAGATACTCCAGCACGTTGACAAAAGACATGCAATACATGTTCAAGGTAACTTTTTAAAAAAAAAAAAGAGGCATGCTTGATGTCTATTGCAGTTTCTTTTGCAAGTTTCAATTCCGTAATTCCTTTTTTATTGGATATTTCAATGCATGCGCACGTTGTCCATGCCAATTGAAATCAACACTGATATTTTATATAATTTTATACGAGCTCCAAGTTTCTTACAAATATATGAATGCATGGTTATAAGACAAGGTTATGGAGTTATGGCTATCATTAGTTGTCCACCTGTATATAAAAGAACAAGAAACAAGTCGAGTCCAAAAATCTTCTTTTAACTATCCTATTTAGTAAGTTATTTGGAAATTTAGCAATCAGATATAATGGGAATTCTGAATATACAACAGCAAAAAAAAGTCAGTCTCATGCCACTATTTTGCCTTTTAGAGAATTCAAACCACTAGAAAATCATGCTCTTTTGCTCAAAACATACATATGTGACAAAATGATACCACAGAAGCTAAAAGGCAAGTTTTATAGGACGACGATTAAACCTGCTATGTTGTATGGTGCAGAATGTTGGCCTACAAAAAGACGACATGTTCAACAGATAAGTGTCGCGGAAATGCGTATGTTGCGTTAGATTTGCGGTCATACAAGAAGGGATCGAGTTCGGAACGATGATATACGTGATAGATTAAGGGTAGCACCAATTGAAGAGAAGCTTGTCCAACATTGGTTGAGATGGTTTGGACATGTCCAACGGAGACCTCCAGAGGCACCGGTGCGTAGTGGAATCCTAGGCCAGGATAGTAACGTGAAGAGAGGCAGAGAAAGACCGAAGTTGACTGGGTAGAGACAATAAAAGGAGACTTGGAAGGATGGAATATATCTAAAGACTTAGCCTTAGATAGGAGTGCTTGGAAGACAGCTATTCACGTGTCTGAACCTTGATTGCTTCTGCTGAGTTTCAACTCTAGCTTACCCCAACTTGTTTAGGACTTAAAGGCTTTGTTGGGTTTGGCGGTCACTGAGATGCATAATGCAAAAGTAGAAAAGGATATCCTACTCTCTAAGCAAAACAAATGGTTAAGCTGCATTCAGTTTCAAGTGTTTCAATTCCTGTATCAGCATGATGTTCTCTGGGATCAAGAGCTCAACGACTGTGAAACATATTATTACTCTGACTGAGATACTATTCCTTTTCAGTGAAAATGACCTCAATCCTAATTATATATCAGAATAATGATGCATACAACCCAGGATACTAACTAATTTAAATATATGACACAATTTGCTCGAGAAGCTCAATGCTAAACTCACTTCAAAAGCTAACTAGCTTAATATGTAATGTGATTTAATAATTTGTAGGCCATTGTTTTGTACTTACACAGGATACTCAACTTATTTTCTTTTTTTTTTCCCTCTGCCATCTTTTCAGAAGCAAAAAAAAAGAGAAAAGAAGACCAACAAAGTCTCTCTTTATACTAAATAGGAAAAAAAGCAAACAGAAATGCTATACAACACACGTGTGTTTTAGCAGAAAAAAAAAACACATGGATTTTTTTTTATCATAAAAAAAAGCCCGCTCTCCTTCCGCTTCCAGCAGCCACCAGCCTGGCGCGTGAAGGATACGCGACGCCACAAAACTCATCTTCCGGGCAATAAAACCCTGTAGCGCATCGGCATCGCCTCCCAAAGCAATCCCCAGAGTTTTCGATTCCCGCAGCCTGATCTCGATCTCGATCTCGATCTCCCGACCACAGCTCCGCGCGCGCGCTTCGCGATCTCGACCCGGCGGCTCCCTCGGTCGATTCCGGCAAGGCCGCCCGCTGGTGCTCCTCCCTCCTCGCCTGATGTCCGCAGGTGCTCCTCCCTCCTCGCCCAATCCCCTCTCCTCTCGAATCGTCGCCCCTTCGGATCCCGTTGCGATGCCGAGCCCTCCTCCGGCCCCACCCGCGGTGGCGGAGGATGAGGAGCGGCTGGCCGCCGATTAAGATGAAGCGTTTTCCGTACGCCGTGTACTGCGCGTTCGGTGGCATGGGCCGCACCGGGGAGAACCTCCTCGCCGCTTGCGTCGGGATCCACTATCTGCTTATCATGGTCAATCTCCTCTCCTTCTACACAGACGGTGAGTAGGCCCGCTTCTGGACACTCGTCAGCCGCGTCGTGCAGTCCCTCTGCTACGCCTCCACGACGCTCATCACGTGCGTGTTCATCCGCTACTACATGCGCGTGTATGGGGAGTACCACGTGACGTTCGATCCGCCGCAGCAGCACCTGGCGCCCGCAGCGGCAGCGGAGCAGCTCCCACCTCCCCCTCCGGAGATGGACCTGTGTTAGGTTTGGTCCGTGTGTGCGGTATGTGTTTTCTTGCTGGCCCCAGGTGCCTTCTCTAACCCATTCTTCAAGTATCTGTTTTAGTTGCTTAATTACAGGTGTTGCTGCTCTCCTTGTTCAAGGTACATTCCCTCCCAATCCCGGCCCTATCTTTGATTATATTCAGCATCTTTAATGTCGTATTGCTTAATTATGCAGCTATAAGTATCTGAAATCTGAAATACTAAGTTTTCAAACGGATTTTAGGTTCCATATATAATATAGTTTTCTGTTGCCCATATGATTTGGTGCAGATTTCTTTGCTTCTGCTAGACAATCTGTTTTCGATTTGTTTAGGCACCACTAGAAATTCAAAGATGCTTTAGGCGCTTCTGGTTTAGCCATTAAATGGTATGTTTTTCAATTCTATGCTCAATCTATCTTTTATAAAACAATGAATCCACAATGTATTCATACTTAAGTAGTTGCATTGTGGGAGCACTTCAGTGGATAGAAATTTATTAGTATGTTTTTCCGCATTTATTACTTTCTGTCTTTTGTGTTATTTGTGATAAACAGGCTTTGTGATGAAAGGAACAATGGGAAGGACCAGCGTGCTGAAAAGATTTTGCTTTCTCTTGCCCTTACCTGCCGAAGGAAATATAGAAGATAAATGGTGGCAAACATCAGTGGAAGCACATCACTTGATGGCCTGATCTGAACGTGACCATCACAGAGAAGTGAAGTAAAAGAGCAACCTGTTGAGTGCCATGATAACAAAAATGCTAGCGCGCTAAATCAGGACTGAACTCAAGTAGAGCTGGAAAATACTGCAAACCAAGTGGGAGAAGAACCAAGTTCGAAGTTTTTAACTGGAATAGCTATTACTTTTGTGCAGTTCGAAGTTTCTCATTTGCAATAGCTACTTTTTATTTCATAGTTTGTTCAGTATCTTTAGGAAAGATTGAATAAGATATAGTTTTTTATGTCTCTAAAAGAATTTCCAGTTGCCATTGTCTGTCCTGGAGTAGTGCTAGAAATAAATTTGTTTGAGTTCTTAATAATTTATCACTTTGTCTCTTGTTACTTGGGTTTCTTTTGTTTTCTGTGTTGTTTCTGCTGGGTTTTTGTCACTCCTGGTGACCCAAGTGTGACCTCTGTAGTATATGCACAGAAATATTACTAGTGTTGAAAAAGGTCTGAATTTTTTTTTGAAAAAAATGGTGCAGAACAAAGATTTCTATAGTTTATTAGTTACATGCTTTTTAGTATCTGACTGTAATGTGAAAATGGGACAATAGGCAACTAGCATCTGGTACTTCCATTGCACGCTGATTGGGAAGTCTAATTGAATTGTGGTTACTGACTGGTGGTGTTGGGTCTCACACAGAGGTGATATGCGACATGTGCCAATGGCTACGTGATCCCTTTCTGAAAATGGAACGGCTAAGGATTTTATTTTCCCTTTCTGTGCGCATAAAAAATGAAATGAACTGACTATTAATACAATTGTACTGTGTCACACTAATTCTGTTTCATGTTTTGGAATCATGTAGTTACTTGATATATGCCAAAACTGCTAATCTGATAGTATTTTCTTGTTAGTGATGCTGATAGCTAATCTAACATTTTGTTTGCGTGACCTTTTGAATTATTATTTTGCAAACCTTCAGGTCCGGGGACAAAGATAATGCCAAATATCGTCTAGTTGGTGTCATTGAGCATTGCCGGAGGACCATAACACGGGGGCACTTTGTCGCTTATGTGAGAGAAAGCAGGATTGTCAGTGAGGTGGAGACGAGCAATAGCTCTTCCTCATGGTTTCGTGCAAATGATAAAAGCATTAGAGAAGTCTCCCTAGACGAAGTTCTCAAGTGCTAGGCTTTCCTTCTTTTCTATGAGAAGGTAGAAGCTTGAGACATGCATCATATTATGCCCAAGTAATAGCAATCAAATGGCATTGGCAAGTATGATTTGGTTTGCTAAGGATCCATTCAGTGCACTCAGTCCATACATGTACTGCTTTTGCTGAGGCATTGCAGGGCACCTGGTTAATGGCGGCTTGTAACCAGTTGGGGAAATTGTTACCTAATCGGCTAAGTGTTTCTTCTTGCTCTTTTAGAAGGAATTAGGGCATGCTGTATTGGCTGAACAGGGTAGGAAATTGATCATAGAGTCACACCATGGCCTGGTTTTGTTAGATGATACTCGATCTTACATGCCAGGGGTTCACATTTTGTGACCACCTGTGATTTAATACAGATGTAAGGTGACAGGTGTTCATGATTTTGGTTATGGAAGCATTTACTTGTTTTGTGAATTGTGGTTGCCAAGTATTTTTCTGTTTGATTGCCTTGGAGAATGACAGTGTAGGGTGCTCCTGGTTGATCAAGATGGCTTAATTCTGATTGCAGGCTGCTAGAACAATCGTTTTTTCACAATGCTGATTTGAAAGAAGAGCTCGATGAAAATTCCAGGGGATGTGTGTATTTTTCTCGAATACGCAGGAGATCTGCGTATCATTGCATTATAGAGAGAAAATGATTGGCCCCTTACAAGCACCATCACCTCACTCCTGGGCGGACTGGAGGGGTTGTTTCAATACATTGAATCACTTAAACTAAAGGAACTAAGAAAGAGATGAGACCTGACCACAAAGAACATCAACCAACTAAACCAATGTAATCTATCCTAGCCCAACATCGTGACCCAGACATAGTGTGAGCAGGCCACGCGCTCCTGCCAAGCACCAAAGGTGATATTTGTTTTTGAACTCATCAAGCATCCTGGTGATGCAGGGGTGAGACCCTTCAAAAATGCAAGCATTTCTATGCTTCCAAAGGATCTAGGAACCTAGAATGATCATTGTGTTCAACCCCTTTTTCTTCTCCTTTGGAATTCTTTGCTTTTCGCCACCAATGAGCGAATGATTTCTCTCGCCTTGTGGGAGTCCAATCTTGCAGTCCCAAAGGAGTCAGAATCCGTGACCAAAATTCTCGAGCAAGGACACATGTAGTAAGCAGATGCTGGACCATCTCATCTTCCTGATCACACAAGGGGCAGTGGGTTGGGTGTGGTAATCCTCTCTTGGCCAATCGGTCCGCCATCCAGCATGGCTAGCCACAAAAAAAATTTGCACTTTGCTGGTGCCCAGGATGTGTGTATCATGGTAAGCTGAGTGTGGATGTATTTGTTTTGGTCCGTGCATGTGGTATGTGTTTGCTTGCTGGCCCCAGGTGCATTTTCTAACCCATTATTCAAGTCTCTGTTTAGTGTTTAGTGTTGTTGCTCTCCTTGCTCAAGGTACATGCCCTCCCCCTTCGGACCATATCTTTGATTCAGCATCTTTAATGTTGTAACTGTTCAATTGTGCAGCTGTAAGTATCTGAAATCTGAAATATTAATTTTTGAAACAGAAAATATCTGGATGTTAGGTTCCATAAGTCTGTGGCCCATATGGTTTGGCACAGATTTCTTTGCCTGTGCAAGACTTCTGTTTCCAATTTGTTTAGGCACCAATGGAAACTGGAAGATGCTTAAGGTGTTTCTGGTTTAGCTATTAAATGGTATGTTTTTCAAATCTTTGTTCAATCTATCTTTTATAGAACAATGAGTCCACAATTCTTAATGTTGTAGATGATCGACATGCTCGTTAAAGATCTTCCTAGTGTAGGTTATCCTCTCCTCGATGCTAGAATCTGGGAGCATTTTCATGTTGCTGCTCCCTGCGTTGTATTTCTGTCAGTGTTTATAGCGTGGATTGTTCTGTTTACAATTCTACTAGTGTATGTTGCTTTCTTAGTTTCTTTTGTTAGTACAGTCGTTGATTGGGTGCATTGCGCAGTTTCACTGTGTTTGACCATTTCTTGATTTTACAGCATGTAAATTCTTTTGTCACATGACCCATCTTTTAGCTGTGAAATTAAATGCGAATGTCTTTCATATATTTAACAACCTGACTTGATTACAAAAGATCATGAGTCCATGTTGAATCAGCACTAAGCATCTGAACATTGTTAGAAGTGCAATCCTTTTCTAGAAATTATTTCACTCGAGAAGGATGCATTTACTTGGACCTGTCAACATATGTATGATATCTAACGTCATAATGTTCAAGTGAAGGTTATGTTCAACAAGGATGAATGACCCGGTTCAGGCAAGTCTTCACCGACTACAAGTGGAAGACAGATGCTCAATCATATATGTTGTGCACATAGCATTGATGAAATACAGAGGCAAGCTTGTTTGCTAAGACAGTCTGAATCCTATGATGCAGATTCATTTTCTTTATATATAGTAGATTGTTCCCCTTTTATGGGAAAGCTGATGTTTTGAATCTCGCTATGGGCATCAGATGCCAACCATTGTACTATAGGGCATAGGCATGCATATTCCATCACTATTATTTGAACCACTTAATAGTTTTATCAGGCTGCAAAAGCCTCAGCTTGGAATGGTAGTATATATATGCATATACGTGGCTCAATGGGCTTGCAGTACCATGTACATGGGAACTACAGCTGTACATGGACTGAGTGTGTTGTGTAATCTAAAAGTACATGGGAACTACAGCGTTTTATTTTGAATGTGCTTATCGAATTCAGAGACCATTCAGCCAGCAGAAGCATTACAATTCAGTATGTACAGATTATGTGTAGCCTACCTCTGAAAAACAGTTTGTGTCTGTCAGTGTGTTACAACTCACAAGTTAAGCTTGATCTGTTTTATCTGTTGGTGCGTCACAGACTGAGCTTCCTGTATATTGTGTACTGCTCAAAAGAGTGTCGGTGTGACGCAAATTGGTATTATAGGCCTCTCAAAAAATAGTTTTTGCCTGATAGCAAAAGTTGTCATGAAAACCATGGTTTCAGGATGATGGCACTGCACCAGTTGATGAATCCGTTTGATTTAGGTCATAATTTGTTTTCAGAGTTGTCTCTTCGGAGACATCTGATAATTTGTTTTCAGAGTTTGAATGATAACTAGTTTTTTAAGTTCCTGTAGTTAGTGGTTTGTTTGCAGGTTCTAGTTTATATCGTATTTAAACATTCATTAGTGTGTCATTGTGTTCTTGTAGCTGGTCTGAGATGCTTGTGGCCTTTCTCAACCAGACTAAAAAAAATCAAGTAGCTATTTCACCTTATCAAGGTAGCTATTTCGTAGAAGAGCTCCAAACAAAGTATTATTGCAACATAAACAATGCATGCAGAATTCATAGCTTTATTTGATGCAACGCGATAGGCCACAATGGCGGAAGAACTTTATTCCTGGACTGAGTGGTCAACAACATATATCTAAACGACTAACCTTATATTGTGATAATTTGCCAGCAATTCTCTATGCGAGTGCCAAGTCAAGCGGTGCTACCAAACACACTAACTTCTTTTTTGACGCCAAACACACTAACTTCTAGTACCATGCTGTGAAAGATAGAGTCCATGATCAGACAATAAGTGTAAAGTACAAAAGAAATGCTCGCAGATCAGCTAACTAAAAGCTTACCACCCAAATATTTAAGTATCATGTAGCCAGAATGTGTTTATTGGCAAACCTTCGACTCTAGTAAAAGGGGACCATTAATGCAACCATCTCTCTAAAAGATTAAGATTGATCATTTTGAGATATGGAATGGTGAACTGCAGTCACTGAGTTCAATAGCACTTAACTAAATATTGTAATTCTTTGGTCTTGGTGTGTTGTTTCATTGAAGAGTGGT